GAGAGAGAGAGAAGGAAAGTGAGAAAGCAAGCCGCCAGGTCTGGTACTCAAACCATGGTCAGCAATGTCGGAGTCTCCAGCGCCTTAACCACCAGGTCACCTGCTGGTCCTCCAATTGTCATTATTTTATTTTATTTTTTTGAAGTTGACCAGAGAGATACAGAGAAAGAGAAGGAAAGTGAGAAAGCAAGCTGCCAGGTCTGGAACTTGAACCACAGTCAGCCACATGGGAGCCCAGCCACCTTAACCACACCACTTGCTGACCCCCCTAGACCTCTTTCTAAAAACCAAGCTAAACTACTCACTTTAGTTTACTTTGGGCACATTAAATGAGTTAGTAATGGGGAAAAAAATGTTTACTCTGTACCACTTACTGTTCAGGTTGTATCTGGAATTGAGATTTCTTTTGACGTAATAAAGGATAGCAGGTACTTTCCAATTCATGTCAAACTGCACAGCCTCATGCTACGAAAAGAAAAAGTACTTATTAAAAAGAAAGAAAGAAAGAAAAGAGAAAGCACTTGTAGTCTATATATAATGCCCCTTTTTACTATTCCCCAGGACTCAGGTGGTATCTTATTTATTTAGATTTTTGCCATAGGGTGTGTGCACTTGCTGAGAAGAGAGAGAGAAAGTGAGAAATCATCCCTCTGGGGGCAGGGTTGGCTACACTGCAGTCCCTTCTCCATTCTCTTCTCAGGATTTTGGACACACACACACGTCCCCAGTATGTTTTTCAAGCTTCTGGGTCTGTGACTCAAAATGTAGAGTCAGGCATGTGGAATCTAGCACCTAAACCACCACCATGCCACTTGCTGGCCCTCAGGTGCTCTTTGTAATTCTGCTAACACTTTATTCCTGGGTATCCCTCTCCCTCCCTCCTGAAACTGCCTGGCATTCTATAGGACCCTGGATGAGGATGCTGGAAAAAGAGAGATGAAAAGGATTTCGGAACATGATGAACTAACCTTATCAATAGGTTCAATAAGAAAATCATTGAAGAGATACCACTGCTGGTGAGTAACACCCTGTGAAGATACCAAGAAAAACTAATGTCAAAGTGATGACTGGACCACTCCACCTTCAAGGTCAGGCCTGGGACTCCACTGTGGCCATCCCAGCAGTGTCCCTGCCCTGTACCACCTCACTCACCTCCTTGCGCTGGTGATAGGTCTCTCCAACTTTGATGTGAGCCACCAGGCTGCCCCCTGTGCGTGAGTCCAGGATGTGTACCACAGTAGCCATCAGGTCATACACATAGACACCATGCTCCTCCTCTGCCCTGGCTGGGCCCCACTGTGAGGGGGGTACCCAGGCTGCTAAGCTAAGTTTAAGGATGGGGAAGGATGGGGCACGGGGACAGAGGACGGGGAGTTGGGGGTCTGGAGAATGGGGAATCAGGGTGGGTGATTGCCATCTGAGCCCCTCTGTGTCTCCTAAAACTAAACAGGATCACTCTGAGAAATCCCACAACTATAAATACTTGCCCTTATTTCCTTTTTCTTCTACTAAGTTCCACTTTCCCACCAGGCTGCTTCACTTCTGCCCCACCTCTGTCCCCTACTCCCCGCCCCCCTTCCCAGTTTTTCAACAACCTGCACCTCATCCCCATCAGTCCAATTGCAAACATCCAGTCCTTTGTTCTTGGTCATCTTCATGCGAATGGAGAAAGGAAGCCAGACATTCTTCAAGTCCTCAATGGAAGGATACACCAGCACACCTTCTGGACTCCCTAATTCCTTCCTATTAGGACAGAAGAACTGAAAGTTGGTTCTAAAGAAATCGAGCCAGTGACAAGAGGAACTTGGTGGGTAGTTCAATCCTTTGACAACTTCCAGGATGGTACTTACCAATCAGTCAAAGTGAATTCTTTATTCTTGGACATTTCCCCACCATGCTTCTTTACTGCCATCTTGAAGGCAACCTCAACACAAAGAAGAAAAACATCTGCTTGCCCAGGAGCATAATCACATAGAGAAGTCAGGAGGGGCAGAAAACGAAAAGTACTCCTAAAAGCCATTTCCAGCCTAGTCCTTACCTCAGCCTGCATTCTCCAGAAATCGGCCTCCTTTGAGCTGTTCACCTCACAATTGATGACAAGAATATCTGGGAGATGACGGATGTTGCGGGTCTGAATCTGAGAGGACAAAATAACGAGGAATGGCAGGGAGTCTACAGGGAAAACAAATCTGAACAGGAACAGTAAAACCTGGATCTGCATCTGCAAACTGGGGTCTTCCCATTCTCAAGATATCCCTGGATGGCAGCACTAAAACAGCCAGCCCCAGATGAGACCCTGGCTAAGTCCCAACACGGCAGAACTCTAGTCCAGTGCAACAACCCACTCACCGTGGGCTGGTACTTCTCACAGTTGTCACACCAGGCCTGCGTGTTCTGCTCCAGGCAGATGCTTCGCTTCAACACCTGAGCAAAGTCATAGTTCTTCCCGGTTTTATCTAAGGGGAAATGAGGTGCTTTATTCCAGGTTCTCCCCTTTACCAGTTAGCCCCTACCACCGCTTTCTTGATGTGAAAGGACATTTAGGGGAGCCCTTTGAACCCAGGGGCAGGGTATACCACTGTTGCTACCCTCAGGGTAGGAGAGTGTGAAAAGGAGGGTGGATGAGGCTCGCACGGTCTCACTGCCACAGCGACAGAGGCTGCAGTTCTCCATCTCACAGCTGAACAGCTGCCCGATGACAGAGTCCCCCGATGAGCAAAAGCTGCTAAGGGTGGGGAGGGCAATTTATGTACACTGAGGGAGTCAGGAGACCCTTTAAGTCACAGAGGGACTATCATGGTGGCTTTCACTTTTCCTGTCCCAATTCCATACCTGCCTCCAGCACCTCGGTAAGCTTGGGGCACTTCCAGCTCCTGCATATCCTGGTGCAGTTGAGTGAGAATGAAGCGATTCCACCTCTGAATGAGCCTGGCCAGATTGCCCTTGCCAGAAGCCTCGTCTGAGTCAGCCAGAATCAGACCAAGGGCTGAGGCCTCAGGGATGGTGCGGAATGCCCGAAGAAAATTACTGCCCTGGAATCCGGGAAGTGTGTTGATGAAAAAGGCTTATCTTCACTTCTATGTCCCTCTGCGTGGTGATGTCCCTGCCTACTGTCTACCTCCCCTCCTCTTCCATTTCAGGGGTCCCAGGTCTTCAGGCACTGACCTGGCAAGGGTCACCACGGGAGAGGTCCAACATGTGGAAGAGGAAGCCCAACTCACATGCCAGGCAGAACTCCTTCTGGCAGAGGTGATTCTGGATCAGACAGCGAACAGGTTCCAGGAAATAGAGCACCTGGGAGGAAGAGCATGAGAACTGGGATGGAGAGGAGGAGATATGGAGGGTAAGTGAGCTGGTGGATCCACTGAAGCAGTGTAGCTTACAGAGCAGACGTGAAGATTGTGGAGGCAAGAGAAAATGGCAGAGGACACAATGGTAAAGTGGGCTTGACTGAGGAAACCTGGAAAGAATAGGGGGTAAGGGACCACTGGCAAAAAGAAAGGCAGTAGGCATGTTCAAATCACAGGACTCCCCACCCTTACCTGGACCATGCAGTTACAGTAGGCATTGGGGATGTGGGGCTCTAATCCAGCAAACAGGGTCTTATTGTAGTGTTTGAAGTCGAAGTCCTCCAGCCCTAGCTTGGAATATTTGATGGTCACCTGAGGTAGAAAGAGTCTGAGCAGGATGATATCCTCAGTGCCCCTCAAATCTTCCCAGAAGCCACAGCTTTTCCCAGAAACTCTCTCCTGGCTCCAGGATGATAGGTGAAGGCCTCTTTTCTGAGTCCTTCAATCCCTTCTAAATGATGACCCCCTTCCCAGGGTGGCTTTCCCACATCTCACAGGGCCCAAGCACCTTGCGATATTTCTTAGAAACCATGTGGAGATGTGGCTCTTCTTCCCGCCCTACTGGTGACTCAGTGACCTGGCTGAAGCTGTCAAATTCATTGTCCAAGTCCTTGAGTCGGTAAGGAATCTAGGATTTTTAAAAAGAGTTAACTTTGTTGGACATCTTAAACATATCTGGATGATCCCCACCTTCATAGTCACCAAACCTCGAACCTTCTATTCTCATAGCAGTCTCAAAACACTCACTGCTTCCTGTTAAATTCCATGGGTATCATTTACTTCATCACAGCTGGACAACTGTGAGGGCTTCTACGCTGGTCTCCCTCTATTCACTATGTCCAGTGTACCACTCCCAAATAACCCTCCCAGAGGCTTCCAGTCCATCACTTTTCCCTCTAAACACTGGTGTCTGCAGCTCCCAATCTGGCCCTTTCTAACTTTAATCCCTTTCTGCTTCCCAATACTGTTAACAGTTGCTCCAGCCAGACCGGTATACTCAGTCCCCCTCAAACATATGTCTCTTGAGACCTTCACTAACAGTCCTTGCCTTTTGAATATTCTGTTACTATCATTACCCATATCCCACTTCCCAGCTCAATATCTTCCATCTACTGTATATTCCCTGACCAAATTCCAAACCTCCTAATAGCAAGGACCCTATCTTCTATGTCTCTGAGTCTTCCCTAACACCTAGTGTCCCTTCAATTCAGCAGGCCCCAAGAAGCGTTTACCAACTGTCTGAAAACAAAGACAAGTAAAGGAAAAAGAAGAGATGCCAGCGGGTGCCGCTGGGGTGGGCGCTGACCTTCTCCCCTCTGAACATACCTGATTGCGCAGCCTGGTGCGGGGGTTAGGTGCGTAACCAATGAAGCCCACCTTCTTCATGGTGCGCAGAATCTCTGCATCCACAGGTGGTGCTCGCCTGTAATCCAATATAGTTCTAGGGATTAAAAGGTCGTGGTATCCACTCCTCAGCCCCCGAGGATCAAGAAATAAAGAAAATACCAAAGTAAAGGTAGACACAAATTGGGCAAGTGGTACGATAACAGGACTACCAGACAGTTCTGCTATCTTGGCCCTTTCCCCCTCCCTCCTTTTGGCCCAGAGGTGAGGCACAACCTGGGGGCTGGAGCAGCGTTGGCAGCAGGCCAATCGGAGAGGAGTGTGTCAGTGGTAAGCGGGACAGGGATGAGGG